AAATCAAATTTATAAATCAAATGATGTGTTACCAATAGAAAATAAATATGTTAATTAACACTTAAATGAGAATTTAATAATCAATAACCATATCATTTTGTTTATAAATTTGATCTTCATAGCATTATCCATTTCTTAAATATGATTTATCGTAATGAGCTGGTTGCTTGGATAATCATGTTATGAACATACTATCTTTCAAATTTATATCTTATTAGTTTCAATTTGGTCATCAAAATAAATTATTGGACCCAATAGTCCTATACATCCACTCAGTTAAGAGCTCTAAATAATGAGATTAGTTAATTCGGAAATCCTAATATAGATAGCAGTAGTATTGACTCTAAAATTAACTTGGTCGGAAACTTCGTTAATGCGCTGGCGTGGATGTGAGTATAAAAAACTCGTAATGCTTGTCACACATAATCTAGTTAATGTTTAGACCAGATTTATTCATGGCAAGACACTAGACACCACTGTACGTCCATGATTTTCATTTTTATGAATAAAAAATGTCCAGTCTGTGATTAAGGTTTGGGGTGTGATATCCACACCATTTTTTACTTCTCTCACATATTTTTAATTTTTAGCTGTCGAATCGGATGAATTGAAGAAGATCAGCAGACATAAATTAACTAAAGGTGTGAGAGAAGTAAAAAGGGGTGTGTGGATAGCACATCCCTAGGATTTTAGGATGCTTCCAACTCCAGGGCAAACTCTGAGGTAGTCCCTAGATCCTTGGCTCTCATTCTCACTGTGAATAGTTATATTATTAGTGAATAATGGAAGAATATTGTTAACATTTACCATAACTAAACTTGAAATGCCAAAATAAACTACGTATCAATATCCATTTATTAAAAGAATGTCTTAAGATCAACTCTTTTGATAGAATATGTATATATTTATAGTAAGTTTAATAGTTAATTATCTAATTTGATGTACACAAGAGGGTCAATCAAAAAAAAAAAAGAAAAAAAAGAAAAAAAGAGGGTCAATCGTCAATCTAATGATTATGTTCCGAGTAAGTACGAATTTTGAAGAGTCATGTAAGCTAGTATTTCAAACAAACATGTAAATATGGGTAATTGCGAATTATTATCATGTTTTGCGGTTTCTTTTTATAGTTTATAAAGTGTGAACATTTACAAATGTCACTTCATGTGGTACATTTGGATCAATCAAATGGTGCAGCAGACTATTTGAAGCGAGATCAGTCCAAATGTGCCACTAAATATGCAAGTGAACCACATCATTTTGACGTGCTCATTATTCAATACATTAGTGTATTGTAAAACGACTAACCAATTTATTCAAAACTCAATCATTCACTCGTGATAAAATATGTGCGGGAGAAGTTTCCAACTCTCCAACCATTACCATTCTAATTATTAGCCCATTTATCTAAAACTCAATCATTCACTCGTGAAAAAACATATGCGGAAGAGACCGAGAAAGTTTCTAACTCTTACCATTCTTTCTTTTTAATTTATTTTTTGTTTCAAGAAAGCATTTGAAGTAGTTTCAATGGTGACCTGCAAAGTTCATGTGGAATTCAGATCAGATGTGGCAGGGTGTACTCATTGCACAAACTAATGGTACCACCTTATGGACCAAACAGGAACTTCCTTTTCTTTTATGTCACAACACTTTCAAATCCTTGCAAAATCCAAGTGCAATAGATTTCACTTCCAAGGGGTATATTTGTCTTTAACAGAAAGACAATGACAGTTGAGATTTTCACCACCTAAAATCCCCATGCATTGCTTAATTCAGATTTCATTCGTGCCAATTAAAACTCTAATTCAACTACCTCTTAACTTTGATCCTTGCGCAAGTAAATATCAAGGTTCTAAAAGACATTAGGTGCTGATCAAGCGGTGGGTTGGGGTCTAGTCCAGATTTAAGTAAATTTATTATATTTCGTGTAAATAAGTGTCAGTTTATACTTAAAATATATATAGACTACAAAATAGAATGACATATATATTATGAAGTATTAGAACATAATAAAAATATGGATAACAAACATATAATGTGTGTTCATTTTAGTATTCAACAAGTTTCTTTCAATTTATTGAAAAAAATAATAATATGCAAAATGAAATTTATCTATATTTTGTGTAAGATTCCACATCGCTCAGGGGTGAGGATTCTGTAAGCCTTATATATATATTCTCATCTCTACCCAGCACGAGGCCTTTTGGGAGCTTACTGGCTTCGGGTTCCATCGAAACTCCGAAGTTAAGCGAGTTCTTGCGAGAGCAATCCAATGATGGATGACCCACTGAGAAGTTCTCGTGTGAGTTCCCAAAAACAAAACCGTGAGGGCGTGGTTGGGACCCAAAGCGGACAATATTGTGCTACGGTGGAGTCGAGCCTGGAATGTGATGAGGCCCCGAGCCAAGACGTGACATTAGTTGGGTGCCTAGGCGGGTCTAGGCAGGCTAGGGGAGCACCTCAGCAGGTCTAGACGTCATTTCTTAATTTTCAAACGTCTAGGTATTAATTGAGGCGATGGCCAGCCGCTTAAGCGGCTAGGCAGAACCTAAGCGGCGCTAAACAGAGATTTTTAGAACAGTTACTAAATATTACATGAGAGATTGAATCCTAATCACAAGTGTAAGAGTAAATATTAGACACTCTCCACCAAGTGAAAATAATAACCTTTCCTCCTTATACGCAAAAATATCAAGAGATAGGAGAATTAATTTCTGAGTGTGGAATGATGATCACGTTCAATCAATTGAACTACTCGTTGTGCATATCAAATATAAATTAAGAGAAATTCTATTCACACACCTTAAATTACTTCTTTCATATATTTTTTAATATTTTAATATTTTATACACATTACTAACACTTGATAGAAAAATATTAAAAATATGTAAAAGAAGTAATTTGAAATGTATGAATATAATCTCCCTACATTAACTCTGAGGGAAGAGGGAAGGGATGGACATCAGAGTCCTTCTCTTTCACGGATTTGGATCCTCTCCTGAGCTAATGGAGAGGATCCTTCTGACCAGTTATCATGAGCCGTTGGATAAAAATCTAACTGTTATAATTATTATAACTTTAAAGAGACCTCCCTGTTTGTAGCCGTCCATGATAACTGGTCAGGAGGATCCTCTCCATTAGCTCAGGAAAGGATCCAAATCGATGCATATTATACCCTTATTAGATAATACAAATACACACCTGTTTAACCCCTCAAATACACTTCAACCCCTCAAATACACTTCAACCCACATACAGCAGTTAAATTCACTCCACATACACATAGGGTAAATAGCACTCAATTTTCTCAACCTCTCTCCTTCACACATGTGTTTTTTATATTATATAAATATAAAAAGAGATAAAAAACAAGAAGGGCAACAAAGACAGGACAAAGGAGCTCTCTGGTTTTTGCAGTGGTGACCACCTTTTTACCACTTATTTACTAACTTTGACTCCTCTTTTTACTCACTAGCCTGCTCACCCCTACCTCTATCTGTCATCCTCTCTAATACCTACATGTTTCATTCCTCCTAACTTTTTTATTTCTTCAAGTTGGTTATTTGTTTTAGAAACATATGATGACTAAAAACGTTTTCGTGCACTTATATAGAATTTAGTGTAAGATGATTTTTTATTTTAGAATGCTAATACGTTGCCTTAAGGTCCTTGATTTTCAAGGAGTAATTTTTCGGTTATGTGGCAACACCGCAACCCACTTAGGGCTGGTTTGGTATTGCTGTGCTTTGAAAAAAAGCTGCTGTGAGAATAAGCGGCTGTGCTGTGAGAATAAGCGGCTGTGAAATAAAGCCAGTAGAGTGTTTGGTAAACTTTTTGTGAAAGTGCTTTTGGAAAAAAAAGCAGGATGATAATGTGTCTTTTCATTAGAGGAGCACTGTAGCTCCGTGTGCTTTGAAAAAACTGGCTTTTTTTCAAAGCAGCAAATAGCAGCTTCAGTTTTTCCTTTGATTTTCAGCTTATTCTCACAGCAGCTTCCAAAATAAGCCCTTTTTTTTCAGTTTACCAAACACAAAAATAACCCTCAGCTTTTTTTCACAGTGGCTTTTTTTTAAAATCACCTCAATCCCAAACGGGGCCTTAGTCGTGTTATGATATATGTATCTATTTATTAATAAATATTATATTATATTTTCAATGATTTTTCATTTTGCTCAAATTATAATATGTAAATTAATATCACAATGATATTCTCCTCATCGATATCTCAAACGGAGAGGTATAATTTCCGAATTCCTTCCACATAATCCTCTTTATCAAATAATCCGGGCTCTTTAAATTTGATTAAACGATTAAAATTATTATAATTTTTAAAATGAACCCCTATTATTAATCATTTGATCAAATTTCAAAGATTTAAATTATTTGATAAGAATGATTAGATAGAAGAGAATCAGAAATAATCAATTTCCATCTCAAAATACCAAAAAATACAGGACATAAAACACACTCTAGCTCTCTCTTCCTCTCTCTCTCTCTAGCTCCATCTTTCTCTCCCTCTCTCTCTTTCTCGAGCCCCTAGCTACTTTCCCTCCTCCTAGGGTTCTGCCTGACCCTTAAGGCCCGTTTGGGATTGAGGTGATTTTAAAAAAAGCTACTGTGAAAAAAAGCTGAGGGTCATTTTTGTGTTTGGTAAACTGAAAAAAAGGGCTTATTTTGGAAGCTGCTGTGAGAATAAGCTGAAAATCAAAGGAAAAGCTGAAGCTGCTATTTGCTGCTTTGAAAAAAAGCCAGTTTTTTCAAAGCACACGGAGCTACAGTGCTCCTTTAATGAAAAGACACACTATCATCCTGATTTTTTTTCCAAAAACACTTTCACAAAAAAGTTTACCAAACACTCTACTGGCTTTATTTCACAGCCGCTTATTCTCACAGCACAGCCGCTTATTCTCACAGCAGCTTTTTTTCAAAGCACATCAATACCAAACCAGCCCTTACTCTGTCATCTACTCTCTCTCTCTCTCTCTCTCTCTGTGCATACATGGTTAACTAATCGTATGTTGGTAAAGGTTACCTGGTTAAGGGAACTAGAGGAGATAAAAATCTCTCCTTGAAACTACAAACCTCTCTCTGCTCAACGGTCCTTTTTCGCAGAACAATTAAATATTTCCTTCCCAAAACACAAAATAAGATAAATAAAATAAAACACTCTCCCCTGCTCTGCTGCACCATCTCTCTCTCTCTCTCTGTTTTCTGTGCTAAGAAACGAACTGGATTTCTGCTCTCAGATGGCTGCATTTCTAATTTTCTCTCAAAATTCTCCAAAAGCTATTTTTTAACATAAAATTTCTCTTAAAATTCCTAGTTCTTAGAAGCAGATTGTCCATTTTCTTTTTCAAAAATCCACAAGAATCTTCCAAAAACTCACCTTTATCACTTTTACACCATTTTTTACCTCCTAAAAGCAGAAAGTCTCCACCTTTAGCGAGAGAGAGAGAGAGAGAGAGATGGGGGGATGTGTTGCTTCCAAGCTGGAGGAAGAAGGAGGAGTTGTGACAATTTGTAGAGAGAGAAAACGGCAGCTGAAGCTGGCGGTGGAGAAAAGATACGCCCTTGCGGAGGCGCACTGTAAGTACGGCCATGCTTTGTTTGCGGTGGCTGCCGCCGTGGACTTCTTTGTTGCAGGCTATTCTTCCCCTCCTAAACCTTACCTCATCACATTTTCGCCTCACTCTCCTCCTCCTCAGCCGCCGGAGTCGGCGGCTCCGCTTCCGATCACTGAGAATGTGATAACCAACCCAATGTTTCTTCAGCAGAGACCGTCTGAGTCGACCCATGAAGCCATTGCTTGTCACTCATGTGGTTCTTCAACATCCTCCGACTCCTCTGAGGAGGAGAGAGAAGAAGAGGAGCAAAAAACAGACGTGAGAGAAGAAGAACAGGGATGTGGGTACTTTTATATGCAAATGCCACCAGCAATGCCGTCACCACAGAGAGACTTTGGGTGGGATTTCTTCAACCCTTTCGACGCCGTGAGGCCGGAGGTCATAAGCGGGTACAGGCGGAGCTCCGACGAGGATTTAAGGGTGGTGAGGGAGGAGGAAGGGATACCTGAGCTGGAAGAGGAAGAAGGGGAGAGTCAGAGAGAAGAAGAGCAGGAAGAAAACCAGGCGGTGGTGGTGGAAGAAAAAGGCAGCGGAGAACAGCGCGACGGCGGAGCTGAGGTGGTGAAGGTGGTTGATGAGGCGGCTAATGCGAGGGAGGGGGAGCAAAAAGGGCTTGCTGTGATTGATACACCAGCTGAAGGGAGGGAGCTTCTGGAAGCACTGAAGGACATTGTGGACCTTTTCTCTAGGGCTTCTGATTCTGCAAAGGATGTGTCCAGGATGCTTGATGCTAATAAATTGCAAATGCAGTCTGGTTTGGAGGAAATTAAAGGTGGGTTCTTTTCAAAACTTGAAAATTTTAACTATATATTTTTAAATTTTAATTGCTGAACAATTTCTAAGCTGAACTGCAAAGGGTTTTGGTGATAAACATTTTTTTCTTGTCAAACAATAGATTTGTTAGATTAGAGAGCTGGAGTTCGAACTTCGAACCCACGCTTTGTGCAATGAAAACACTCATCTCTTCTACTGTGCTAGAGGGCCAATTACTTTGTGATAAATGTTAGTGTATTTAATTTAAGTTTAATATCTTTGTTTTTATTTTAATTTTTAGTAATTTTTTTTTTCACTTGTAAGCAAGAAGGTTTTAGATTTGATTCTCGTTAAAGCCGAATTTGAACCAAATTATTACTAGTTTGTTGTGAGGTTTAGCCTACTCTCTCACTCTTTCTTTAGTGTCAAATATCGATTGTTCAAAACATTTTTAATCTTTTTGGGTTCTTGACCCTTTTGTGAATTCTTTTGGATTCAGAGTGTTGATGTGTTTGCAGCTGCCTAGACTAACTAAACAACCTAAATTCACTTTTCTTTCAACTTTATTGAACTAATAGAAAGTTTGCCAAAAGAATTTTCCAATCACTTCTAACTATTTTTTTAGTTGCATCATTCTCTTTTTCTCCCATCTTCTGAAAAGATCAATTGTGGGGCTCTAGTCTTTATGTTTGTTTAGCAAATATTGCATATTCTGTGTAGGGAGCTTTTATTGGCGTTCCAAAATAGTCATTCAATACCCCATCCGGCTCACGACGGATGAGTGTTTTAGAGTGTCAATAACAATTCCCTTGTATGGCTCCATTTTTACTTAAATACCCAAAACCTTTCTCCCAAATTGCTGCAGACTGATCAAGGATTTGGGTTGTGGACCTCAACATCATTTCTTTTTGTCAAAGAGTTGGAATGTTGTTGCACATGTACTTATTTTTCATGTAAGGGGAGAGAAAAACTTGGTTCTTTACAAATAAGGAGTCATTATCTATTGCAAACAAATCATAGTTTGACATGTGTGCAAAAGCTAGCTTTCCTTTTGTGATTTGAATGAGTTACGTTTGCACGTGTCAACTGGGATTTTCATGAATGGAGGAATGACTCCGTAACATGTAAAGAGTCAAACAGTGTTCGTCTAATAAACACTTGTTTTCATAGCAATAATGAGTCTCTTACTTTGTTTCTTATCCATATGAAGCTAATAATTCTTCACTTGTCCTATTTCAATGCAGAGAACTCAACAAAGCTAATTCAAGCTATAACATGGCATAACTCAACTTCATCGTCTAAGCTTTCGTCGTGCAAGAGTCTCGTGGCATCCAGATCTAAGGGTTCGTCAACATGGACGGAATTTAACAATGATCTTTTCAATGATTATGGAGGAATGGATTCAGGAAGTCATTCACTTACTCTAGAAAGGCTATATGCCTGGGAAAAGAAGCTCTATGAAGAAGTTAAGGTAATATTTCCGCACCGTCTCCATGAGTGAACTACTTCCTTAATTTTACTAATGTGGTTTGATTGCTTAACATTTGCATTGCTTCTAGGCCGGAGATATGACAAGGAAACTGTATGAGAAAAAATGCTCGCGACTTAAACACCACGACATAGGAGACAATGAGACCATGGACAAAACTCGAGCTGCAGTGAAGGATTTATATGCCAGGATCTTAATTGCAATTCGGAGTGCCGAGTCAATTTCCAAGAGAATCCAGATACTGAGAGATGAAGAACTGCAGCCTCAAATTGTTGAGCTGTTGAAAGGGTATGGAAGTCTAACAGATTGAACTTAAGCAGTTGTCCAAATTAGTTTCATTGCGGGTTTCATCAGTTTACATTTTCCTTGTATCTTGTGCAGCTTAATGCGCACCTGGAAAATTATGTTGGAATCTCATGAAACCCAACACAAGATCCTTTCTGAGGTGAAATCTTTTGCCAGCTCTGCATATGGAAAGTTCAGCAACATCTCTCACATGCGTGCAACACTTCAGCTCCTCGCTGAGCTTCAGAATTGGCATGCATGCTTTAAGGAGTACGTCGCTGCACAAAAAGCATATGTTGGAACTCTCCATGGTTGGCTAACCAAGTTCGTGGTCCCTGAAGAAAACTTCTACTCGGGGAGCAGGAGTTCAGCTGCGCCGTTTGGCGTCAGTGGCCCCCCGTTGCTCATTATCTGCCATGATTGGTTATCTTCCCTGGAGAAATTACCTGATACTTTGGTGACCATTGCCTTGAGAAGCTTTACAAAGGACGTGAGGGCTCTGTTGAATCAGCAAGGGGAAGAGCAGAAACAAAAAAGGAAAGTTGACAGCCTAGGCAAAGAGCTCGACCGAAGAGTTTGTGCATTCCAGAAGACAGAGAGCAGGTGTCTGGAGCCAAAGCTCACAGAACAGAAATGCGAGACAGATATGGAACATAAGACGGAGTCCATGACAGAGAAGAAGGAGCAGATAGACATGTTCAGAAGAAAGGTGGACATGGAGAGGGAAAAACACCAAAATTACATTGAGGAAACTCAAAGGATCACATTGAACGGAATCCAGACTGGGTTTTGTTCAGTTTTCGAGTCCTTAGCGGAGTTTTCCAGGGCTTCACAGAAACTGTACAGCGATCTCGTGACTTGCAGTGAAAATGCAGATAAAGCTGGGAACCCCGCGTATATAGAAGGCGGCATCAAGGATGACAAAAACAGCAGCAGGTGACATGAGGCGTTTGAGAATCGGAATTGGTGAATTGTGTATTTGTATTTGTGTACATATATTGTGTCAAAGCAGCTCGCTGAGACACAATTATTTAAGTTTTTAGGGTGATGGTGTTGTAGCGAAGTAGCGACGAATTTCTGAATGTTGCTACAATTATTTAAGTTTGTAGGGTTGGTGGTGTTGTAGCAAGTAGCAACTCTCATGGTAGACTTCTTTGGTTCCAAATGAACAGATTTTTCTCCGAAGTTTGATGCTGTTCTGACTTCTCAGAACATCAAAATTGCGTAATTTCTACTCGCAGATGGTTGCGCAGGAGAGAAACTTAAGTGCAATCGGATTTTGCCGGTTGTGGAGGGGTTTGTAAGGAATCCAAGATGGTCGTGGTGTGCGAGTCGATTTTTATGGCGTGCAAGGACATGTTACCCTCAGTACAAGCTAATATTAATTAGCATGAGGGGACGTGAGATAAAGCCCAACGAGGCAATTAGGGGGTGTGAATCAATAACCGTTTGTGGCTTACTTAAGAATTACGTGATATGGGGAAGGTGAAGCTTGGTTCCCAAGCATCACTATTGTATAAGCTAAGGATTAACTTAATCAAAGGGACGTAAGCAAGCAATACTATGAAAAACACGCAGCATGCATTGACTTGAGTGTTGGAGTGTCTTTTGCAAGTACACTAACGTTATAGTTCGTAAAAAAAAAATATTTAACAAATTTTAAATATTTTAGTATGTAACTATACAATCTCTTTTAATATTTCATTGTTAATCAACCCTTGACAGAAAAAAAAAAAATCAACACACCTCTTAGGAGAGAGTGAGTTTTAGTAGTTTTTTTTTTAATATTTAAGTTTTGTTAGTAAAATACAGAACGGTTAAGCACTTGAAAAAAACGTGTGTATTATTCGACAATTTGCTAAATTAATACTTTGCAAATTCGGAAATTTTATTTTTTAAATTATTTATTTATTATTATTTATTCAATAATATGTTTAAAATACAGGTGTAAAGTGTGAATATTAAATATATTATTGAAAAATGTGTGAAAATAACATGTTTTAATGTGAAAAATACGTATACAATTGTTGACCCTAAAAATTATTTAGCCTATGTGGCGCTCAAGCCAAATAGCTAATGAGCTAACTACGTCATTCGTTTGAATGATGCATGCCAACGCGACGATCGAGCTCGTTCAGTGAGTGAATGAATGCGGCGGTGGTGGTGTCAAACGCGTTGCCGGCTTTTGTATCTTATGATTGCGGTTGAGAAAGGAACTCGTCTCGGCTTACGGGTTCTAGAACCTGAAGACTAGGTTGCTAGTCTTTGCGAAGTTTCATCTGCATAGGGTTTGGCCGCTTCAATTATATTTCTGCAAATATAAGTGCGCCAAATATGTACCAGATTGTACGGACACAAATACTCAAAGGAGATAAGTGCCTTGATTGTATATGTGGTTTGGCTGTCGAAGTGTCGAACTCTAAAATGTACTTATGAACATCCAACTATAAAACGGGTTCAACTTTCAATGTGCCAAACAATGTAACCTGATAACACATCACTTCGCTAAAAAAGCTAATGGAGTGACCTCTTCCAACAATGACTCAAAGAACCCTTGTTGATAGATACTTGGATAGGTAGTCAACTAAACTTGAAGTAGTGTCGTCCGATGCAAACTTTAAGATACTCCACGACCGTGTGACTCTACGGTGCCAGTGTGTCCAATACAAACTCTAAGATGTCACTGGTTGCCAAGCACACTGTTGTCCAATACAAACTGTAAGATGTGTTTGACGAAGTTAGGGAGGTGCAAAAGCTAATGGAGTGACCTCTTCCAACAACTCAAAGAACCCTTGTTGATAAAGACTTGGTTGGATAGGTAGTCAACTGAACTTGAAGTAGTGTCGTCTGATGCAAACTTTAAAATACTCCACGACCGTGTGACTCTACGATGCCAGTGTGTGCAATACAAACTCTAAGATGTCGCCGGTTGCCAAGCACACTGTTGTCCAATACAAATTGTAAGATGTGTTTGACGAAGTTAGGGAGGTCAGTGTTTTCTCAAAAATGAGAGGGTTTCGTGTAGACCGAAAAATTGCGCAGGGCAAATTTCTGTGTTGCGTTGAAGGTCCTTTGAATGTTGTAAACCCTATTTGATTTATTGAAGTGATCCTCACCTAGAGTCCCACTCGGACTAAAACTCCTTAGCGTGTCTTGATCCAATAACGAAAAACAAAAGTTCAAAAAAAAAAAAAAAGCATAAATATATTTAGCCCGTCACAAACCTTTCTTTATTTTTAGCCGTCGAATTGAATAAATCAAATGAAAATAACCATCAGTATTAAACATCATGCATGAAAAAATAAAAAAGGTGTTTGTTTACCATTTCCCTTCCATGGCCCAACTTAAACAACAAGCATTCCACCCCACTAAAAGCCAATAAATAAAAACTTGTCCCACCATCCTACTCCACCATGGTTTTGGTTCGGCCACGATTTTCTCTACCGGCCAAAGACGTCAAGCTCAAAGATATGCCAAGGCAACACACTTGGCTTTCTATCACCGTCCTTTTAATCTCTAACTTACAGTCGAAGACGAATGACTTTTTACAAGACAGTAAATCTTGGGAAATCAGGTTCATCACAACGGGTGTCCTTAGCATTCTAGGTCTAACGGAAATCGGAAGGAATCCAAAAGGGTCATACCGGTATATAAGAAGTGCTTGGCCGGAGAATTTGAAGCTGAATCCAATCTTACAACGTGGTTAGTGAATCAAATGTGGGAAACTGTCTTCCGTGCTTTACTCCTAAACTCCATAAAAATCAGATTTAAGGATAGAAAATAACAAAGAAGAAACTCTCAACCCCCATAGTTATTGCAGGTATAAAGTTATAAACAAACTCTTGAATCCACAATAGAACAAGAAAAAGGAGAAGGAGAAACAGACGAGAGAGAAAGGATGACCGATAGAACGAGAAGTTCCACTACTTTCTATTGTCAGTTTTGTACAACATGCAACGGTATACATCCTAAATAGAGCTTGATATGATCTTGCCAATGAATAATTACAGATTTCACCATTCAAGTCACAGATACAATGCTGTTTTACCGTAAATATAGGGAGACCACTAATTGCAAAAAAATTATGAATTCGCTTACTACGGCAGCAGGAGAGTGGATGCCAAGAAATGGAACAATGTCTACTTGGAGAAAATTCTCTACAGCTGAACCCACCACGGCACCAGCAACAAGCCCCCCTACAGTTATGATGGTCGCCTTCCCTGCAAAGATGAACGGAAAATTAGTCCAAATTACTTAATGCCTAATCTCAGGTTTAGAAAAACACACAAAAAAAATCTATGGAGCCCGAACTGCATTAAGTAAATGCACTTATCCACAGATCAGATGCGGAAAATTTCAGAAATACCCTTTTATTAACCAATCGTTCTCAAAGTTGGAGATAGATAACCAACCTGACAAAACAAACCCATGACTTTCATTCATGATTGATGAAACCATGCTAAACGATAAGACAAAAAGAAGTGAATACAAGGATTTATGACATAGAAACTTGCAATTAATCTCCAATACCGTAAGGACGTTTAATAAGCGACAATAAGGAAATGCCTGTACATAAGAAAACTCCATACCTAACTTAATATTCTTTTTGGTCATGAAGTACAAGGAAGCTCCAAAGCTACCAGCCAGGATCAGTCCAGGAACATCAGCCCCTCCATACGGCCCCGAAGAAGAACCGGAAGCTCCATTGACATAAGTTAAGGCCATCAAAGCTCCATAGACACCAACTTGTACACCCAGATCACTTGTCGAGGGCGTTTCCACTGCAATAGGTGGATTCTTCACAGTAGCCTGCAGCCACTGCGGCACTGATCCAATCCCAGGAGCACTCACTGGCTTAACATCAGCATAACGAACACTGCTATTCACAACTTTCCCTGCCCGTCGCTGAGTTAAGCTTCTCATAAGCAACATGTCGTACGCAGCCTCAACCTAAACTAATTAACATTAGTGATAAGGAAATCATAATCATGGCATTATAAAATTCCAAACCAAAACTAGAAACCACCATAATAAATGCTTGTGAATTGTGATACTACTACAACCCATCACCCTCAATTACCCCAAAAAAATACATCTAAATTCATAGCTTCGTTTGCAAGCACTAAATTTAACTCTTTAGCAAATTTGTGGCCCAATCAATACTTCATTAGCAATTGAGTAAAACAAATCAAATTATTAACTGCTCAAATTATAAACATTTAACATAACATATTAAATATAAACATTTACTTATTTATAAGCTCAGAAACTAGAGCTAGAGTGGCTAAAATCATACATTATTCAATAGAATCCACATAAAAAACGCACCTTTAAACATTAAAATCTCTATAATTTTGCAAAAATTAATTAGTTCAACTTCAACCCAATAGTTGTCGTACACAACCCAGGAAATTACCAAAAGAGATTGACATAAATCTCAGAAATTCGAAAGGAAGATTAAGAGATGTAATAACCTGTGCAATCGCCTCCTGGTCATCTTTACAAGCTGCGACAATCGAGTTCTTGGCGCGAAGAATTTCATCGAACGAGGCGCCGTCTGAGACGCCGAGGAGCTTGAGGGCGTTCTCGACTGACATCTCGAACGGTGCGTTGTCGTCGGCTCTGGAGGCGGCCGTGGCAGCCCAGGTTAATGTGCGGCGGGATGGGGCGATGGAGCCCCTCCAAGGCTCGAATTGCATGGCCGGTTTTCGGATTCCAGTGGGTCCGGGGCGGCGGAGGGGCGGGCGAGGGAAGGAGGAGCCGGCGGAGAGGCGGTTGGGCCGGACGGAGAGAGTGGCTGCCATGTGTTTGAAGAAATGTGAGGCTGGATTTGGTGCGAAAGTAGCGTGCGTGACGATATGGGTTGTTGTGTTGGGCTGAGTCTTTTGCCGCGGAGTGGGTCATCTATAATTGTGGACCGTTGATGGACATGTCACCACCAATCAATAATTGTATTCTTCCTTCTACGCTATTTTCTTCCTTCCTTTTACGTTAAATACTTAATAGACGGCTTTTGGGCCAACTTGGTTCCCCCCATTATCATAATTCATCATTTTAGTCTTTGTAATTTAAAATTGATATAAACGGTTTTTTGATATTATCATCTGTCAATTATTTTGATCATTCTGTAAAAAAATATCCGTTAAAAAACACCAGTTCACGAAAATGGGCTAATTTGACAAAAATACATTCAATTTGATGGAAATTTCTGACAGAAAGACCAAAATGATTAACTATCTCATGAACAATTTTAGATAAAAAGCCTTTAAAACAATCTCATAGACAATTTTGGATTTAAAAAAACCCTTAATCTGGATGGTGCTATTTACACACACATTTTTCTTCTCACACACCTTTCAATCTGACACACCCCGTCCCGAAGGAGGGCATGCTGGCCGTCACGTGAGAGTGACGTAACCATTTACACAGTACGGAAGCTTTAAATATACCATTTCTAAGATGAAACACCCAAAGGTGAGACCTAATTTTGTCCATTCTGTCAGAACACCGTTGAATTCCTCGTGGCCACCAAAACTCTGCTATCAAGAACCTGGAGGGGCGAAAAACAAAATTGAGTGGGTCAGTAAAACCAAGCTTTTCAAAAACATTTCGCCAAAAATAATTCTAACCCCTCACTGTAAAACCTGTATACTCTTCCCAGAAATGTAAAATATCAATATATAAATATATTCTCAAGACTTCAATTAACTATCTCAACATTATTCATTACAAATATGCCATGCCATGTCTAAAATCAACGGTATAGTATGAATGCATCAACATAAATCAGGTGGAAGAAAATAATCAACCGGAGGCCCTACAATGGCCCTGTACGGCTGAATCTAAAGCTCAATATCTCATTCAGCCGGAGTCACCAACTGTGACCTGTACGGCTCTACACTGCACATAAGTCGGAACCACCTAATGTAGTCTGTACGACTTAATGGTTAATATTACGCTCTAGTGCTTTTCTCATCAATCATCTGTGCACATAATCTAAGGTCACCCACCAGTCGGAACCTCTCTAAAGGTCTGTACGACTGGCCTGTCGGAACCATCTCCTGTGGTCTGTACGACAGCATCTACTTGGATCCAAGGCGAGCGTGCGATGCGGTGAATACTATAAGCACTAATACCATGGTGCAGGTTATGAACTCAATATATCTCAACATCATCATAACAGTAATAATACTCACCTGATACTCACCTGTGCGTCCACCGCACCATTTCACATATATGCATCATATATCATTTCATGCATGACATTTCGATTCACATTTCTATATACTTTTCACATACTTCTATGCATGGCATTTCAACTAATATATCTCATGTACTTTTATACATTTTCATTTAAAGCATAATTTCATGCATTTTCAATTTCTGGGAAAACGGCAAGTATATATGCTAACAGAAAACAAAACTGCCCACTCACAGAATACATCGACGTGTCGAAGGTCCCTGAGCCTCCCTTAGCCATGCCCAACGTCCGTATAATCCTCGCCTATACGAGAAGTAACCAAATTGACGTTATTTAACGCATAATCCCACTCTTAGTTAATAACTCCTCATATATTGCTCAAATTGGGTATATGAATATACCACAGTGACCTACACAACCTCAGGATCATCCCCATATTTTTAAAATAATTTTTGGAGGTCTCACGCGCCCCCACGCGCCTGACGTGGCACGGACCTACGCGCCCCCCACGCGCGGCCACGTGCCGTGCACACTGACGGCACAGTAACGGCAGTTAGGGAATATTCCGTTAAAATCCTAGCATATTCCGTTAAATAATTAACGGCGTCAATCACGTCGTTAGCATATTCCGTCAAAACTGACGGAATATTCCCTGTCTTCTCCGGCGATTCGCCGGTCGCCGGCGACTGTTCGCCGGTTTCTGGAAAAATTTCAAACTTGCTATTCTCCTTCGTTTTTCATCCAAATTTTTCGTACCTTATACCAAATTGAAGCCCTAAACACCTACTATCACGTTGGACTAGTTTTAGGGTCTAAAAACAACGAGATCATACCTTTCCAATAATTCCAAAATCCGGCCAAACTCGAACCAAGTGATCCCGACGTCCATTTTGTTCAAACAAGGCACTCCGAGCCTCCTCGTGACCTCCTTAAGCTCACTATGAGCTTGGTTTGGCCTAAAACACAACCAATTCAAAGCTCATGAACAGTACACATTCACGGCAACTTTAGAAACTAGGGTTTTCGAAGTGAAACTTACCTTAAACTGGTACCTACGTGATCGTGGAGTCCTCAGGAGTGCAATGGTGGTTTTAAATCCGGCGTTGGTATTAGTTTTAGGTGGTTTTGATGGTTGCCCGTGTGTTCGAGAGGGTGAGAGAGAGAGAGTGAGGTCTGAGGAAGAGAGAGAGAGTATGAAGGACAGTATACGGGAAATGGGGAGGGAAATAAGGAATGGGGATCCCACGTGGCCCCTTCTCAGTCCTTAACTAAAATTAATAAACCTAATTCTAAGTTCTTATCCCACAAGATATTTTAATTAACCAAAAGTTATGAACTTAGATTAAAACCAACTTCACACTTACGCACCTTGTCACGTTTAAGGTTATTTTCGTACTTTCACGTCCTCGGAATTTATAATTCCGGGACGGGCTGTGACAATCTCCCCTCCTTATAGAATTTCGTCCCCGAAATTCCAGCCACCAACTAAATTAACCATACTCCAACAATAGCTTCGGGTAAATCTCTCTCATCCGATTCTCTTTCTCCCACATAATTTTCTACTGAATGATTTCCTTCACAAAGCTTTTACCACTTACTCTGTCTTACTTTTCAGGACCTTCTTTTTCAAATCCAAAGTCGTCCTTGGTTCCTTATCAAGTCGAATCCAATTTAATTCTCAATAGTTGCACCAGAATCTAATGTGACGAATCTGCCACCTAGTGACAACGCATCAAATCATAAAATATGTTTTGCACCTTAACCAATTCTGAGGGCATCACAAGCTTGTATGCAACTTCATCGATTCCTTTAATGATCAAAAACCGTCTGATGTGTTCAAGACTTATCTTGTCTTCCTTTCTGAATCTTACTATTTCTGTTCATGGTGAAATTCCAAAAATATCAAACCATTTACCTTACACACTCGATTAGTGGCATATCCATCTGTTGATCTCTTTTGCCATTCCTGGTTACTTCAGGTTAACTTAATCACCTGAATACTTTGAGGAGACTCATCCATAGTCTCAGGGCCTACTAAAACTCTTTCGTGATCGAATCTTTCTCTACCCAGAAACATTCCATTCACAAGTCAACAAAAACCGACTCACATGACACACTTCATGGTCCTTATGGCGTTACTTCGGAAACTGCACAACCAACATACTTAAGAAACTCAGCAGTTCCGTAAACCAATTCTTCTTTCCATAAAACAAATAAGTATCGTTGCCCTGTCTGGGAAAAAGTTATTACCCAGCACTGGAGTAATTGTACTAATTTGGTACATTGACCAACTATCACTTCAAATTCGATCATAACCATCCTATGTACAAGGAAACTTGTACACATAATCCAAAGTAATATCTTTCCATTTCCACTGCGAAACAGAAAATAGTTATCTCAATCCAAAGGTTTATCTCTTCTGCCTCAATCTGCTGATCAAATAAAACTGTTGAGTGGTATGATAAATCTTATTACTTTTGGAATATTGCAGAAGTTGAACAGTGAACTTCGTCCAATATTTGCTTGCTTCAAATCCTCAGCATTAGGCACATACTTTTTGTTTTCTTGTATCCACATACCATTTGATTCACGAATCATGTACTCATTCTTTTTCCCTTTTTTCTCTGCCTTGGTTAATTCTTAAATTTCCTCATCAAACATTTAAGTTTCGAGTACGACCTTACCAAACAGGCCTAACTTGAAATTTAACAAGTATAACTTCTTCTCGATCTTCCATTCTTAATTTTTCTTCCGTTGGTTTTCAATCCACAAGAAGATAATCTTGGCAAGCGTACCAAGCATTAATTCTTACTGGAGTCTTCTCATCAAGTGCTTCAGCTATAACAATTCACGATCACCCTGATCGTACAATCATAATCACTAAGTAATTCAATCCACCTTTGTTGCCTCATATCAAAATCCTTCCGAGTAAACAAATATTGGAGACTCTTTTGATTTGTAAAATCTTGCATTCTCACTAAAATATAATGTCTCCATAACTTCACAGCAAGGATGGTAATCGTAATTTCCAAATCATAAGTAGGGTAATTCATCTCATGAGGTTCCATTTGTCGTGAAACATATACAATCACCCTAACATTTGCATCAACATGCCTCCAATACCATTCAAGAAACATCACTAAAAATTTATGATTACCACTATCTTCTAGGAATACTAAAATACGTGTATGAGTGAGGAAATACTTCAGTTGTTGAATCCTTTGCTCACAATTTTCTTCCCACTCATACATAACTCTTTTTCTCAACAGTCTCGTCAATGACAAAGCAATGACTGAAAAATCTTTCACAACCATCCAAAATAGCCTGGTAAGCTAAGAAATTCCGAATCTCAATTACAGCTCGTGGTTGTTCCAATTCCTCAATTTGCTACCTTTTAAGAATTCATTTGAATACCTTAAGAATATATAACAATTCTCAGAATGCCACCTGATTCATCTAACTTTAGCATTTGCTAAACTTAGCATACAACCAACGTTCCCTCAAACTTTGTAACATCAACTTAAAAATATCTAACATGCTCTGCTCTAGGCTTAGAGTATACCAGAATATCGTCAATGAAAATGATATCAATTTATCAAGGCATTCCTGGAATACTTCATCCATCAACTCATAAAGCAGCATGAGTATCCATATAGCATCACCAAACTTCATAAAGACTATAACGAGTCC